GTTATTTTTCCTCTTTGTTGGTATTGTGCTAGACTGGGCTTTTATTATCTCACTTTTCAAAATTTCCCAAGCTTCTTGTGTTGTTTTCCCCTTGAGGATTCTCCTCCATGGAATCCTTCCCAAGCCCTCTCTAAGTTTATTGAAATTAGCTCTCTTGAAGTCCAAGACTCTAGTTTGACTGTGTTCTATTGCTTGTGCTAGATAGATAGATAGATAGATAGATATAGAGAGGCAGGCAGGCAGAGAGTTTAGAGAGAAAGATGATAGATAGATAGATAGATAGATAGATAGATAGATAGATAGATAGATAGATAGATAGATAGATAGATAGATAGATATAGAGAGGCAGGCAGGCAGGCAGGCAGAGAGTTTAGAGAGAAAGATGATAGATAGATAGATAGATAGATAGATAGATAGATAGATAGATAGATAGATAGATAGATAGATAGAGCTTGAGATATATATATATATATATATTAATGATGTCTCAGTGATAAGCTGTATGTACTGTATATGTATGTGTGTGTACATACATACAAGCTGTCTTTGTGATCTGCATTCCCAAGCATGTAAAGATCACCAGACCGAGGAGGACTGTTTTAGAAATCCATGATCATGCGTGAGTGCAGTAAAGATCCAGTTGAGCTACCTTAATTCTCCCACAACCTTGTCAGTTGTAAAACATTAACCTTATTTAGAAACTCTGTTTTGGTATTTGTATCCTTCATTCCCAAAAACATCGCACTGTGTGGAACTCCTCTCTCTTCCCCAATTCCCGTACCTTCCCATCCCGCAAGGAGCAAAAAGAAGCGAGCATCTTTGTGCAAGATTTGGTCTGAAGCTCCGAGCTTCCATAACTTCCAAATTCCACAACACTATTGTCACCTTGTGGCCGCTTCTTGGAACTGCGTAGAATTTAGTGCTTAGTATAGCCATTTAAATAGGGACAAAGCTGGTAAACATTCATTTCCTTTAGTTAAATGTGGCTGCCAGCATCTTTGCAGGTACAAAAAGCAAACTTGCATGACTTAGTTTTTTGTAAACGGTGGTCAGGAAACCAAAAAAGATTTGGGAAAAGTTGAAGATAGCTTGTGGGTGATGCCTCAAATGTCAAATCAATAGGGTCAAAATTACAGTTCATTTGGACTCGGCTCTCATTTTTCCTACTGAGATAATTATAAAAGAAAATCTCGCAGGCTATTATGAAATCACAGAGACAATGGGCAAAAAAGTGATAATGAAGTAATTTCAACACTGGGTGTTTTCATTTTCTAGGGCAGAGGGGTTCCCTCAAAAATCTCTTTCCCCCCCCCCCACCGCAATATATTGGATTTTAGCATTTGGAGAGAATTTGGTATTTTCAGTTTCTTTGTATCGGGACCACAGTCTTAAATAGAATGGAAAATGTGTAGCTTAGGGTCGAACTTGGTACTTTCTGAGTTTGGTTGTTTGCTTGCAGATGTTTCGTTAGATAATAATCATCAGTGCTAATTCCACTCAGCACTGATGATGTTACTTAGTTGGGTAATGAAACGTCTGCAAGAAAACAACCAAGCTCAGAGAAGACCAAGTACACCATACTACAGTCTCCAGTCCAGAGAAGCAACAATATCCCATACTTTATAAATCATACTAAGGAAGAAGCAAACTTCCCCAACTCGTTGACTTCAAGGTATATAGCAGTGATGGCGAACCTTTTAGAGACTGAGTGCCCAAACTGCAACTCAAAACCCACTTATGCATCGTCGAGTGCCAGGTGGGTGTGGCCCATTGGCTGGGTGTTGCCAATTGGGTGGGTGTTGCCAGTTGGGTGGGCGTGGCTGCGGTGGTAATGGCAGACTGGGTGGGACTAAAAAGTTCAATCAATCAATTCCAACTTTGCAAGATCTTTTTTTTCCCGCGAGAAGTTGAAATTGACTGAACCTTTTTTTTTTTTTTGCACACGGCGGCGGAGGCCTAAAGCAAAAAGGTTTTATAAAACCCAGCCGAAGGCCTAGGACTGGGGCAACGGCGCACGTGCCCACAGAGAGGGCTCTGAATGCCGCCTCTGGCACCTGTGCCATAGGTTCGCCACCACTGGTATATGGGATTTCAGTTCTTAATTATGGGATGCTAAAGGAGACCCTCTACCATGAAAAAAGCAAAAATATTAGGAACGGAAGGGAACTATCTCTGTTACCATCTGTTCGGCACGGGAAGCATCTTTTTCCAAGAGGTCCTCTCCAGTTCTTTGAAAAAGTCTCAGGTCTAAAAGCAATGAAGAGGTGGTAGTGTCATAGACGTCGGCCTGAGGACTATTTGAGTAATGAGATCTCCTGCACTTTGAGGAGATGGATATTCCAGACGACAGGGCCTACTTCTGAGACGTGGCTTCCGTTTGCATTAGATTAGAAATGCTACTTCGGCATAACATTAGGTTTTATTTAGCGTCTTGGCAAAGGACAAGACAGGATGTCTGATCTGTAATATTTCCCTTAGGGGAAATTAGAAAAACAAAAAACAAAAAAAGGAAGCTAATTGCTGAAGTGTGCAATAAATGTCATCCATTGACCAAGCCTTGGTAATGCAACTGCCATTTTTCCAAATAGCCGGTTAACCCCTTTGGCTCGTACAAAGCAGCACTCTGCTCTCCTACACTTGTTTTACTCCTTTGTTTGTGTGTGAATTTGAGGGCTCCCCATTGGCAATAGGAACACATCTTCTTATGGCGGTATCCCATTCATCCTTATCCTTTTGCAACAATTCAACCTAGGCAAATAGATTTTATAACTCAAGTCTTGTTGCGCCGTTTTTTTCTGGTAGTTTTCCTTCAAGATCTAAGCCTTAATAAGACCACACCTGGAATACTGGATCCAGTTTTGATCACCACATTATAAAAAAGTTGTTGAGACTTTGGAAAGAATGCAGATGAGAGCAACAAAGAGGATTAGGCACTCGGAGGCTAAAACATATGAAGAATGGTTGCAGGAATTGGGTATGGCTAGTCTAGAGAAAAAAAGGACTAGGGGTGACATGATAGCAGTGTTCCAATATTTGAGGGGCTGCCACAAAGAAGAGGAGGGGTCAACCTATTCTCCAAAGCCCCTGAAGGCAGGACAAGAAACAATGGATGGAAACTAATCAAGGAGAGAAGCAACCTAGAACTAAGGAGGAATCTTCTGAAAGTGAGAACAATTAGCCAGTGGAACAGCTTGCCTCCAGAAGTTGTGGATGCTCCATCAGTGGAGGCTTTTCAGAAGAGATTGAACAGCCCCTTGTCTGAAATGGTATAGGATCTCCTGCCTGAGCAGGAGGTTGGGCTAGACGACTTCCAAGCTCTCTTCCAACTCTGATATTCTGTTTTATCTTCATGCCAAGTGAGCACCAGGGAGGAAATAGGTATCCCTAAGCCGTTGAGAAAACATGGTTTAATTGTTGCAGCTCAAGATGTCTCTGCAGCCAATTTCCCTTGCAGAAGGTTAGCCCTGGACCTGGATGTCCTAAAGTCCTCAGGATGGTCGTAGGCGGGGGAAATTCGGTGGCACTGTTTTGNCCCCCCCCCCATCTCTTTCCAGAACCACACGTTGAGCCAGCATGCTCAGTGAGCGTAGCACGACAGGAGCCCTCTCTGCGGAGGACTTGACGGAAACTCAGTGGGGGAGGACCATTTGAACATTACATCCAATCAAAGTGTCATTTGCAACCCAGATGTAAAACTCTAATGATTTGGCCATGAGGCGCTGCTATTATAAGCAGCTGGAAATGAATATTAATGGAAGAGATTAAAAGTATTCCATGCACAGTATTTTTTATTGTCCTGCTTGAGCTAAAGTGAACTTTAAACCTTCTGCTTCTAACTGAATTTATAGTTGCTAGATAAAAAAAAAAAATCTGCTTTTGATGCGCTTATTCCTTTGTTGCTTCTTGTATTATACGGATAGTTCTAGATTTAGGAGTGATTCCCTCGCCCCCTCTTTTTTTTTTTTTTTTCCTTTTCTTTCTTTTTTTTAGTTTGGACTTTATTTTCCTTCCCTGTTTAACCGCTTTTTTTTCATTGCAATTTTTAGGTAATTGTGCATCGTGATGTGACGGCTTGGCTATTGTCTGAATATATTATTTTTTACACTATTTCGTTTTGGTTTTTCGGTTGGTTCTTTTTTTTCTTTTTCTTTTTTAACAATTAAAGACTAAATGCTTTGATTGGATTTGCCAGTTCACCGGACAGTGATTAATTAAAAAAAATGTAATAATGAATATCATCAGTTTCAGTGCAACTGGATGATCTGCTTTATAAATGTGACTGAATCTGATTGCATTAACTAATACAGTTCAATAAAGGGAATACATTGGATGAATGTTACGTCCTTGGTTTTTCCCCTTAATGGAGGCTATGGGTGATGTTTCAGAACAAAAACATCAGATGGGAGTGGTTTTAAAGTCTAGAACTTGCCACTAAATTTGAAACCACAAAAATTCGTCAAAAGGTAAATTGGATTTTCTAAAAGGTTGTCCAAAGGTTGCTACGTCTCCCTACAATTGCACGATTTGGTGAACTGAGTCTTGGTATCATCTCAAGAAGTTGCATTAGCCAAGTGCTATGTGTAGGAGATTCCCATACATAAAAATATGTGCAACAACTTCCCTCAGATGAGACCTCACAGATATGGTGGATATTACCCACAATGGGTACAGATTTTTGGAACGGAAACTTAACACATCTGAAAGTCACCGAACTGGCAGAGGTTGATGATGTTTCTGTGGACCACAGAAAACCAAATTCCACCAAGATTTTTGTCACAAGGGGGAGTGTCATCAATGCTTCAGAGGACAATCACATGAAAAGCTAATCTCTAATTGGAAAATGAATGTTATTGACTCTGATTTTATATATTCTTTCCAAAGATCTCTCTTCTAGACAGCAAATTGCAATTATGAATAAAATATAAGTCTTATCAGCACATTTGGGGTAAGAAAAGGCCAGCATTTTTCATAAATGCCATGATGTAATAAACAACAATATTAAGAATTAGTTTTCCTAGGAAGGGGAACGTACACTTAACAATAATTGTGATGATACACATATTGGTTTGGAAACAGTTTCGCATTCCCTGTGTTCCAGAGCAAATCTTAAGAACAACCAGTCACTTTGCCTGTACACAACATTTCTACAAACACCAAGGTGGGAAGACTTTATGAACACAGTGTTGGAAAGAACCATTGAGAAAAGGTTCAAAATATAGCAAAGATCTCACCAACCAAAAGATTACTTGATCGGATAGACCGAGTAGGGAATAAAAATTTCAGGTGAAAGCAGATGGCTTTTTAGTCTCTGTAGTTTTATGGGGATCAACAAGAATTGCCAAGAATATGGATCTAACATTGAAGAATTCCTGATGGGGTTCTTTTAGATCAAGCAATGCTTGAGTCTTAATATATTTGAGAATTATATTATAAACGAATTCACATTTTGAACTAAATAAGTATTTTAAAAATGTCAACAATGTGGCTTGCCCCCTAAAATAAATATATTTTGAAGTGTTGCCAGATTAAATTTGGGAGACAGCTTGATGGGAGCAGAAGGATGTGGACGAACAGCATAATCCCAGATTGGAAAATATAATTCTCTGGGGGTTCTTTTAGAGAAGATGCTAAAACATTTCCTGGATTTGACCTTTAATTTTATTTAAGGATGCCGTTTTTAACATTAGGAGTGAAATTATTGTTTTATCCTCTTTTGCTATACATAAACATACACAATAGGGCTAATTGGAAGTACAAGCATCTCTTTGCTAAGTGTGTACAAGGAGAGGTTGGAGAAATTTAATTTATATTCTTTCCCTGATTATCGAAGTCTCTGATTCTACAAAATTTAGGATTTTTTCTAACCCTAAAGGACAGCATGCTGATGAAGAATTCATATCCAACACACTTGCAGGTTATTAGATCACCTAACTGTAGTATGTTGACTGTGACTCAACCTTTCTTTCTAAATGCGACTATGTCTCATTCATTTCTTGCATGAACAAGGGTACATCAAAACAGAGAAAGAAGAAAGAAAAAGAAAGAAAGAAAGAAAGAAAGAAAGAAAGAAAAAGGAAGGAAGGAAGGAAAGAAAGGAAGGAAGGAAAGAAAAAGAAAGAAAGAAGAAAGAAAGGAAGTAAAGAGGAAGAAAAAGAAAGAAAGAAAGAAAGAAAGAAAGAAAGAAAGAAAGAAAGAAAGAAAGAAAGAAAGAAAGAAAGAAAGAAAAAGAAAGAAAGAAAAAAAACAGGAACAAGACTTACCAAACTTTTGCTCAAGTTACACAACCATAGTTAATAGGGAGGGGGAGAGTTACGTGTAAATGTATCTGCATAATTACATGTCATGAGAAGAATTATAAATCCCTAGGGGGATAATTATAAGATACCATGAGACAAGTTCCAAAGTCTTCCTGTCCTGTCAGATTTTACAGAGTTCTGTTTTGACATCATAAAAAAAGAGTTTCTGAATTTGCTACATTTCCTTCCTTATTTTATATTTTATATATTTTACACACACACACACACACACACACACACACATACACACACTTGTTTGACTCGCTTGTCCTCATGCCTTTGCTTGCTGTTAACTTCAAACACAAATTCTAGGACTGAATTCTCAATAAAAGAGAATATTTGTAACTCAGGATCTTTGAACTGTAGGATCTTTGGTGCTCTCTCAGCCTGATTCCCAACTAGTAACCCGAGTCTCTTCTGTAGCACCTTTAGTTAAACTAAGCAACAGCGTAGACTTCCCCACCTTGGCAACTTTAAAGATGTGCCGACTTCAACTCCCAGAATTCCTCAACCAGCCTAGCCAACTGGCTGAGGAATTTTGGGAGTTGAAATCAACCCATCTAAAAAAAAGTTGCCAATTTGAACGAAAACCTGGCTTAGAAATTTATAGGGCCTGTGAAATAGACAAGAGCAATCTTCTTTTTTTCCCCCCTTTTCTCGTAATAGCCCTTAGTCCAATTCTGACCCTCAAAATAAAGATTGCTTTGCAGAGGGAGAGAAGGAGAGAGAGTGTTTTATAGTTTAACAGCATACAATATACATTTTAGTCATTTCTCTCGGCTTTTTCCCCATAACGAGAAATGCAAAAACACTAATTTAAGTGTCACTTCTGGAAACAGGCTATGTAGGATAGGGAACGGCGAGCACTTAGCAAAAATCATACATATGGCTCTATTGAGAGCGCGTGGGGAGCTGTCGGTGGCCAATGCTGAAATTCAAGCTATGCCACTATAGGTGTTTCAAAAATCAAACAGTAAGTTTTGTATTACTGGCCTTCTAACCATGTAATAAAGCTTGAGGGAGAAAGTGGCACTCAGACCCCATGCAGGCAAGGAATCTAAAGCGTTCCAGTACACAATTTGTGCGTTCTCTCTCTTTTTTAAAAAAAACTCTCTCTCTTATTCCATATAAAGATTTTTAATTTCTGCTCGACTGTTGTGCTCTGAATTTTTCCTATTTTCCACCCCACTTGGTAGCCAGAGAAGCACATGGGGGAGATAACTGCTGGTTGAGGTGAATGCTGACACACACACAAAAAAAGCGCACAATAAAAGTGGGAAAGCTGATCTTTACTTGGGCAATGGGTGTGACAAGGCTTCAATGGACCATTTGGGGCAGAGCCGAATAGAACGGGGAGGCTCAAGCATCGGGCTCAGCGTGTCGTGAAAAGGAACTGGCAAAGAATTGACCATCTTAATAATAAGCACCTTCCACCCAAACTATCAACTCTCCTGTTCTGAAGGCAGATTATATTCTCGCTCTTTCTTCAAGGGTGGGCAAAATATAGCTTGTCGTTTCCTGATAGACCTCGGGCTAATGCCCCTCCTTTTATTTCAGGTCTCTGCCTTGCCAGTTCCATAAAGACCCCAGATGACTCTCCCTCCCCTCTTTCTGCAACAGAGAAAGTTTATACTTTCCAGGAGAGACCAACCTGGAAGTGGGGCAACTCGCCACGGCCTGTTTGTCACGGCCAAGTCACTTCATCTAACTCCCCACGGTGAATTCGCCATGGGACAACTCAGGACAATTCCAACACCTCCGTTTGATTATTTAAAATAATTTAAAAATTGCTGTAATTCTTGTCATTCACATTTCATTCCGTCCCTCCTTTTGCATCCTTTTTTTTTTAAAAAATGATTCTATTCCACCATTTCTTTCATATTAGTATACAGTAACTCTTGTCCTGGAGCGAATTGCCTGCAGCGAGTTAGCCACAGTGAGTTGACTATGGCAAGTTGGCCATGGTGAGTTGCCTACGATGAGTTCGCTATGGTGAGTTGTCCTAGACCAGGGGTGGGGAACCTTGGTTCTTTTATGACTTGTGGACTTCATCTCCCAGAATTCCTGGGAGTTGAAGTCCACAAGCATGGCTGGCTCAGGAAATCTGGGAGTTGAAGTCCACAGGTCATAAAAGAGCCAAGGTTCCCCACCTGTGTCCTACACCCAGCCAATGCTTTCACTGTAAGGTTGGGGTCATCAGAGCCCAATGTTTGAAGATCTCCAACCTTCAGATCCTTTGCCTTACATTCCTCAAATCCTGTCATTGGGCATGCTGATGGAAGCTGGAAGATATCTTGATTACTTTTTCTCACTGTAAATTGTTGCACCCAGCACAGTCACTATATTGAATCTCATCACTTAACAATGTTGCACTGAGGGTCAAGCACTCCCAAGGTCAAGCAGAAGGATTCCAGGAAAATGAAGTTTAGAGTGCTTCGTCTAAAAAGGTGGTACTATCAGGCAGCTATGAAAGCAGGCCACTTCTTCTGATGATCCATCCCTTTGATCTGAGACCTAGATGGTCTCCAAAGATCATAAGCAGCCCTGCAACGTCAGGATCAAACGACCAAAACTAGGTGGCAAAATATCCCCCCATTTCAGTGGGGCAATGTTGTGTTCAATGTTGATGTCAATCAGAAAATCCAGGCAGTTCAAATGAGAAGAAAGATTTATTGCAAGTTTAAGCTCTCTACCAGACTCTGAGCTACTGACGGTCAAGGGAAATGAGCAGTAGATAAGAGTCTATGGAATTCAAGGTGGGCTGGACTTAGATCTCCTGTGGTCGCAAAAGAACTCAAGACTGATGATGCATTTGACCCCTCCCTCGGTTAGCCTGGTCATCTCCTACGGTTGCATGTGGAAGCAGGGAATGAAATGATTCTAAGAGATATCAACAGCTTTCTCATCCTGAGAAGACTCCAACGTTGGTATGGAATGTGGCGAGTTTAAAGGGTGAAGATACAGTAAGATCAGTTTGCTGCCAGGGGACTTCCTGCTTCTTCTGCCACCCTAAAATACCCAGAGAGAAATTGAACCAT